AGGTATGTAACCCCCTGAAGGCTAAATACCAGAATTTTCCAGTGGTCAGTCAGAACTGAAAAAGCCTCTTGGATGAGAGGTGAAACGTCTTCAAAAAACCTCCTTTGTCCAGTTGCTTTCGATGTAACTATTTTTTTGAATTAAATAACCTGGATGACTGAGAATACAGGATGTATATAGCCTGCTAGTATTTACAGCTTATGGCCACTTGGGGGCACACTTCTCCCTTTTTTCTTTATTAGCGTACACTGGAGTGTAGAATCTAGAACAGTGGTTCTTAACCTGGGTTCGATCGAACCCCAGGGGTTTGGTGAGTCAGTCTCAGGGGTTCAGCGGAGGACAAGACACATGCCCAACTTGTATGATTCTTGAGGACATGTCCCCGCTTGGCCATCACCGAAGGGTTCAGTGAATGCACATACGAAACTGCTGGGGTTCAGTACCTCCAACAAGGTTAAGAACCACTGATCTAGTCTGTGGACATGTATACAGTGAAGATATGTAGATATATATATATATATATATATATATATATATATATATATATATATATATATATATATATATATATATACACACACACACATATTTTGGGGGAATATTTTGACATTTACATTTTCAATTGAATAACTCTGAAACATACCATGCACAATTAATACAACATTTAGAAAAGATATGCAGCTACTTCTGAGATTATGAAATAGGTTGTCTGGTCTTTTTATTTATTTACTTGTTTTTTGCTGCAATGCAAGTCTGTTGCTCACGTAAGCATAGGCAGCACGGAATCATGGGATCACTTGCAAGTTGAACGTGGAACGAGCAGGGGAATTCTAATGTTGGTCATCATGGTGGTACTCAGAGATCTCAATATTGTAAGTTTGAGAACCACTGCACTCAAAATTAGGAATCAAAATTAGAGAACGATTTATAAAAAAAAAAAAGGATTTTTTCTGAAATGTCATCTTTATTGCTCAACAATTGAAGGAATTTTTGTTATGTCTATACCATGCCACTAGAACAGTTTTTCCACAAAATAACAAAGGCATTTCAACAAAAAACATTATTTTGCAGAAAACACACTGATCAAAATTAGAGAACAACAGTGACTGTAGCATGGAAAAAAGATTACAACTAAATATTCTGAAGGTCACAACAGTCAGCAGTTGGTAGGAAGAGTGCAGCCTCTACTCTGAATGACTTCAGCACATCTGCGGCCACGACATAGTTATGGCCCAGAAACCCACTAAAGTCAGGGTTTCTTGGCCATAACTTTGTCACCAAGGATTTTCCAGAGGTTCTCTATTTGGTTGAGATCAGGGGGGCTGATGTATCAAAGTTGCGTAAGCACAAAAATGTTGCTTACTCTCTTTTCCACGCTCTCGTTCAGATGTGTAAAAACTGAAATGAGCGTAGAAATGTGTGGGGCCTTGTGTACAAATCTTGCATACGCACAAAAAAGTTGCTTTCACCCTTTTCTATGCTTACGTTGTTATGCTAAGATGTCTCATAATTGAAATGATCGTAGAAATGTGCGGTCCTCACGACAGCTCCAGAGCCGGTGTACACACGTTTCTGCAGCTGTGTGCCTTTGACACTTAGTGCTGATGCTGGGAAACTTCTAATAATGTAAAAAAAATAGCAATAACACGGGAGCGTGTATATAGGGAATATGAGGATTTACTGGAGAATGATGGTTATTGGTTGATGGAGCAGTTTTGTTTATCAAGGCCACTGTTACTGGACCTAGAGTGCTACACGGCATGGAGCCAGGGTTTGTCGGTGCCCACATGGGTGCTGACCACGCCCTGTTGCCTGGCAACAGGTGAGCTTTGGCTCGATGTTCAACACGACTCATTCAAAGTGACAGCATGACTGGGGCAGACACTGTGCACTTCACGTCCACCTTCATCTCGGACCATTTATTTTTTGAGTAGGACCTGTAGTTGGCTTTAGTATAATAATTCTTTCACGTCCTCATGATGAATTTGCCTGCAGATCGTTCATTTAAATATATTTACATGTATTACATGTACATGTATGTAGGGGTGTGATATGGAAATCCCACATGTGCACTCAATTCCACGTTGATTGGGATGTACAAACCAAACGTACTTGGATTCCACACTTTGATGCGTCAGAATTTTTTCCGTATCCACGACAGTTTCTGGATTTTTGCATACACCCTTTTTTCATGATAAAATCTACGTACATTTAGTACATCAGGCCCCCAGGACTCTGGGCAGGCCATGTCCTTATTTTAATGTTTTTAGTTTCAAGGAACTGCCTTACCCGTTTTGCTGTGTGACATGGAGTGTTGTCCTGCATGAACACTCTGGGCTGTTTGGTTGATGAACGCAGGGAAGGAACCATATGTTGTTGAAGACGTTTCTGATAAACATTTGCATTCATTGGACCAGTTTTCCTTTGTCCACACAACATGCTCCTCAGCAAAGCTTAGTCAAGCCTTTTGATTCTTTCTGCTAATGAGAGGTTTGGTCACTGCAGAGTGGGCTTTCAGTCCAAATGCTTTTAAACGTCTAGACACAGTATGACGAGACAGATCCTTAGCCTGTTCAGCACTGAACTGGCTAGCAATTTTGGTTGCAGTGTGGAAGCGCCCATTGAGATTCTCCGCAGTATCCTGTCTTGTGTTCTGTGGACGACCAGCCTTCTTGTGGGACTTGAATGAGTTTGCGATGTTGTAAAGATTCAATATTCTTGAAATCACAGATTTGGAACGACCAACTTGTCTCGCTATGGCTGATAGAAAGGAAGGAAAGTGAACTCCTTGTCATTGTGACACACACCACTGCATTTAACCCATCACAAAAGTGAAGCTGCCTGGGGAGCAGTGTGTGGGCACAGTGCCTTGCTCAGAGCATCTCAGTGGTAACTGGTGGCAGCCGGTGGATTCGAACCTGCAACCTTCCGGACCCAAGTCCGCTTCCTTAACCACAAAGCCACCACTAGGATCATCCCTTTGGCCTTAATCTGGACAACCTGCTTCCGGAAGCTTTCAGTGACTTTAAAACGGCCTACCATCTTGTAGTCAGTGAAACTGGAAGTTGGGCTGCCAGTTAAATAGGGGTTGACAGATAATCAAGGAAATTAGAACTAGGTGCCAGATTAACAGCAATAACTGGGAGGTATCTGAAAGTGTTCTCTAATTTTGAGTCAGTCTGTTCTTTGCAAAATAATGTTTTTTGTTGAAATGCCTTTGTTATTTTGTGGAAAAAGTGTTCTAGTAGCATGGTATAGACATGACAAAAAGTCCTTCAACTGTTGAGCAATGACATTATTTCAGAAAAAAATCAATTGTTTATAAATTGTTCTCTAATTTTGATCTCTTTCACCTCTCATCCAAGAGGCTTCTTCAGTTCTTCAGCCTTATGGATGAGAGGTGAAACGGCTTCAAAAAAAAAGCCTACTTTGTTCAGTTGCTTATGATGTAACTATTTTTTGGATTAAATGACCTGGAAGACTGAGAACCTACATAGATAGTTTATACACACTCCTGATCAAAATCTAGACGAGTTCTAGACTATTTGGTACTTAGTATGTTTAGTGCTTAACTTTGTACAATTTCAAGCTATTCTTTGGGCTTGCACGACTTGAATTGCAATAAATAACTGGAAAAATTAGAGTGTTCTAAAACTTTTGACCGGTAGTGTATATGTATGTATATAATTTTATATGTTTTTTATATATATATATCTTTGTATTCTTTAACTTTTCTTGAACAAGAGAAACTGCTTAAAAAGTACATTGAAATTCCCATTTTCTGTTGTTGTTACCCTGCAGACTTTGCCACTGTGGTAGGCTACTTGGTAGTCAGTCGGCCTTTCTTAAACGTCTCCCATCCTCGACACATGCACAGTTCACAGTCCGAGCTGCTGGAGGTTAGAAAATGAAAATCACTCACACACACACACACACACACAGAAGTTCTTGGGGTTTCTTTTCCTGTTTTTAAATACTGCCAAAATAACATTTAATTCTGGACTGGTCACCTAAGCAACCGGTTTTAACACAGTCTTTCAGCTTTGGTTGAAAGTAGCATTGCAAACTTGTTGTGTAATTTTAATGTGTTAGACCTTTGTTCTTGCAGGATTACTACCAGAGTGGACGGATGCTGTTGAGATTGTCCCAGGCTCTGGGCAGGATTGTACTGGCCGGAAGAGAAATGAGCCGTTTGTCAGGGTAAAAGAAGGGAATTAGCATCTTACACATATTAATACTTTACTTAAAATAACCATTTATGGTACTCTTTATTCTGTGATTTTGTGTTTTGTTTTGTTGTGTGTTTGAAATGGTTGGGTTTTTTCATTTCTCATAAACAATATCATTATCCATTCAGCAGTTGACATACAGCATCAATAAAAATATCTGTTGTTATGGATAGGGGCTCATATAGTCATGTTCTTTGAGAAATGTCCTAAACATTTACATTTAAGATATGTTACTTTTAATCCCAAATGTCTGTAGTGTCAGGTGACTCTAACATGATAGTGTGATCAGTCCTATTGAATTCTGCACATATGGTTTCTTTTTCTAATAAGTAGATTATTAGCAACTATAACCCTGCACATATGGTTTCTTTTTCTAATAATTATTAGCAACTATAACTAGTGCTTTACTTTTAATTGTGTGTTCTATTCACAGATTTACCGCGCGTATAACTGAGCTCACGAAGGTCCTAAAGGAACTAAATGCTGGTAAATATGAACGCACCATGGTTTCCCAGCATGATAAAGGTACGTACGCTGTCTTGTCAAATACAAAAAGAGTCTGCACTCCACAGATACGCAGCCAAATTAAAAGGTGATGTTGGGTTTTTTTTTATAATATAGAGTTGGAAACAGCAGAGAAGGTTGCGTTAGTGCCAGGAAGTGGTCAAATTATCAACAGAGACAATATTATTAAGTAAGTCTAAATACATCAATGTGATTAATGTTTTATGTTCTCTTCTAAAACCTTTTTTGTTATATATTTTTTTGTTTCTATTTCAGGTTTGAGAACACCCCACTGGCAACGCCAAATGGAGATGTTCTCATCAGAAACCTTACATTTGAGGTACATTCTGTCTCTGACTCTGTGTATGTCTTGTGTGTCTTTCTTTTTGAATCCTATGTTGTATAACCATATATATATATATATATATATAGACTCCCCATTATTATTTTAGTGATGTACCAGATAGTTGAAAGAATACAAAGCCTGAACATGTTTTCAACATTTATGAAGGTGAGATCAGGCACCAACGTTCTTGTGTGTGGACCAAACGGCTGTGGAAAGAGCTCACTGTTCAGGGTGCTTGGAGAGGTAAGAAAGATCTCCCCATTAATCCTTTGCCACTTTAAGTGTTTGAGTCAACAATTGGCAGAGGTATAATATACAATACACTCTGAATATCTCTCTCTCTCTCTCCCTTTCTTTTTATCATCTAAATTGAGTCCTCACTCCCAGTCCTTCTCCTACGCTTAGTGGCCAGACGCTCTGTCGCACTCACTGTCCCTTGCTTGGTTATTTTACCCATTTTTATAACTATATTATAAAATGTTTTCTTAATTATTATTATTTTATATTAACAATGTATTTGTTTTTTTTTTCTATGTTTTTGGTGTTTAGATAAGGGGGAGATTAATTTAATTAACTAATAGTATATTTCTTGGGAGTTATAATTGGTTTTTAGTAGGGACTAAAGACTTTTATCACTTTTATGATGAAGCAAGCAAAAACCACGACCAGCACAAGCTTGTAGGATTGCAAAGACATTTCTTTATGATTACGCAAAACTGGTAGAGATATCTGCAATACATATCCATTTAACCGTTTAGCATTTAACTGTTAAACTGCTTGCCAACATGTCTGCGGTGTGGACGTATTTGTATCTGAGAAAGACCCACGGACAGTGATTTGCAAAATGTGTAATGCTGGAATTTCAGGAGGTGGGTGAGAAGTACACTCATAGAGTCTGTCAGCACACGTTGCCCTGAGATCTGTTCGGTTCCCCTGCACTCGTCGCGACAGTACTTATAGTTATAAATCATTACGCACGAGAAATGATAAGGGTCGTGATGGACGCGGAGAACCCGCTTGGAGACGGAGAAGCTGTAGATGGACAGCAGTGTACAAGATGAGGGGCAAGCACCCTCGTTTTCTGACATGTTCTGTGAGATCCTGCAAGAGAGTGGCTCAAATAATAATAATAATAATAAGTAGGCTATTCAGTTCTGACTTCCTTTTTAATTTATGCAATCACGGTGCCTTGATTTTATTGAGGTTTAGTACACAGTCTTAGCCATAAATGCAATGGTACTTATAATTAGCAAACTAATTTCTTATGGTGTTTTGGTTTTCAGCCAAGAATTGTAATTTTGGTGCATCACTAGTTTTTAGGTATTTTAAATGGGGAAATTGCAGTCTAGATACGAGTGAGTTGACACACAAGTCCTATTGTGGAACGGATTAAACTCGTATCTCGGGACTCCGCTGTATTTTGTTGTGTCCATGTCCTTTTTTTGTATCAGTAATGTTGGTCTTTTCTTTAAAGCTATGGCCTCTGTTTGGAGGACAACTGACAAAACCTGAGAGAGGAAGGCTCTTCTATGTTCCACAGGTAAAAATTTAATGGTTGTCCCTAACACTTTGGTTTTTCTTTGGGCAGATTGGGCAGTAAGAAAGTTATGATACGGTAACTGAAATCTAGCCAAAATCAAATAAATAAGATATAAAGATTTCTTAGAAATATAGTTCTAAATGTGTAGCTCACAGTCAAGAGGCTGTGAGTCACTAGCCTTTAGCAGAAGCTGGTTAGAATTTTTTTTTTTTTTTTATTGATCCATGTTTGATGGCGCTTCACTGATGTTTTATTTGATTGTCTCTGTTGCATATGTAAATATATTATCAACTTAATATTTAGGAGTGAACACAATTCATGTTAGGAAGAACAAGAGGAAAGACCAAAGATAACATTTTTATTACAACAAAGTGGCGCAAGGAAGAATTTGTTATGTGGTGCCTTGATTTTTTTTTCTCATGCTCCCATCTACAGTACGTTGGGGCAAATGTAAAATAAATTAATAATGATTATAAACACCTAACATAACCCTTTTTTATGTTCTGTACAACTCATTTAGAATTAATTTACAAGGAAATTAAGTTTATGTTTTTTGTGCCTGGGCCAGAGACCCTACATGACTCTGGGCTCCCTGCGAGACCAAGTTATTTACCCGGACACTTACGAAGATCAGAGGAGAAAAGGCATTTCTGACCTGGTAGGCACTTCGTTGTCACTGGCATTTCAAACTTTACAGCGGTGTGTATTGTATAACTGTATATTGTTTTTCTTGTGGATGTCCAGGTATTGAAAGAGTATTTGGATAATGTCCAGCTGGGACACATTTTAGAAAGAGAAGCTGGTTGGGATGTAGTCCAGGACTGGATGGACGTCCTCAGTGGAGGAGAAAAACAGCGAATGGCGGTAAGCCACCTATTTACTTTTGTTCTTTCTGTCATAAATAACACTGTTATACAGCGGTTTACAACATCCAGAGGAGGAGTTCCATTCCCATCACTCGATGTCACTTGATTTTCATTGTAAATCACAACTCAATCAATCACTCAACTTCACTATCACTTGATTTTCATTGTAAATCACAACTCACGTTCTCTACGTTAGTACCTGTGACTCAACTTCACTATCGCAGTGGTGATATCGTCATAATCTAGGGTATGGATCACCAACCTTTATAATATAATAATAATATCTTCTGGGACATAAAATAACAGACCCTCTTCTTACCAGCATCATTGCTTCCATTTGAATATCATTGCAAGTGTAACTGATTCAAAAAAACACAGAAACAGTACAATTTTTGACTCTCTTGTTGACTAGTTTTATTTTTAAAACGTACCCGGCATTCACCTTAGGTTCCACTGGTTCCAGGTACTAGATGCCCCTGGACATCACGTTGGTGGCCCCTGGAGAAATAGTTGAACGCCACTCCGTGTGGAAATATATTTGCTCACTCCGCTTTTAAGTTTTAACACCATGTCCTTTTCTATTTTCATCCATGATAATGCTGAAAGTCCAGTCTGTCCTGTCGTATTTATAGCAGTTTTAATTGACCTTAGGCTGAGAAGGTCCACTTTGGACATTGCAGTGGACACAGAGAAAATGTTGGCGTGTACAAGTCGCTAGATGCAGTTCGTTAGATTCAAGGCGATTTAAAGCACTCGAACCCCCAACGTAACTGTACACCTGCTGGAAGGCCTAGGTGTTGCAAAAAATAATTTCGTTGCCATTCATTTTAGGCCCCCAGTGCCCACTCTACTGATTTTGAAGGACATAAGGATGATTTCTTTCACCCTGGCAACAGATGTATATACAACTAGAAGCAGTCCAACCAAGAGAAACTAAGAACAGACTACCCTGTATTTTTTATAGATATTGATAATAAAGATAATAAAAAATGTACCTGTTTCTGATACTGTTTAGATACTGTTAATAAAAAATGTACCTGTTTCTGATACGGTTTAGACTAGAGGTCACGAACGTGGTGCCTGGGTGTACCTGGTAGCCCCCTTGGAATACCCAAGGTATCGGGTATGTTATGGTAATGGTATAGTAAAAATAAACTACTCTGTACTTGTACTGTTACTGTGCTTTTTGAATCAGGTACACTTGTAGTCATATTCAAATGGGTGCAATGACAATAGTAAGAAGAGTGTCTACTATTGTATGTCCCAGAGGTTATTATTATTACATTCTTCAGGAAGTCTGCATCAAACAAGTAGTTCTTCGTATCACTAAGTGCCCTTGAGGTAGATCTCATTTTCCAAAAGGTTGGTGACCCTGGTTTAGACCAGCAGTTTTAACACCATACGTCAGAGTGATGGAACAAGACTTTCTTAATAAATGCACAGGACATGGAGATGTAACCACAAAATGTTGTAGGTTGGGCATGTCGTAAACCGAGGACCTCCTGTATATCTTAATCTGGAAACTCTCTACTTTCAAGATGATAATGCAAAATACTGTAGCTTTATGCACTGTTTTGGAGGTATCACATAAAAACGCTTTTAACTTCCGTACATCCAGTACAGCATATACAACTTGAGGATCAAAAGAGGTAGAAAAACGTGAGTGGAGCATTTTGGCCCCTGTAACAGAAACCTGAATCTATCATAATGAGGTCAGTAGCGGAAATATTTAGGTAACATTGCAAAGTTGTAGTAAATGACTATTGGGAGATACTAAAATATTTATTTAAAACAATTACCCTCAGAAAACATTAAAATTTGATAGGTGTTCTAATATCTGCTATGAAACTTCAAAATTTAACATAGCCTGGAAATGTTTCAACTTAACTTTATTTTTAACTTTTCAAGTATTTTGAAATAGCTGATTGTGGCACTTATACAATACCACACAATACCTCATGAGGTTTAAATGTTTAAGTTTTACAATAAGCTGTTTGTTAACACGTTTGTTAACAATAACATGTTTGTTGATAAACTGAGTGGGTTAACACATGTTAATTACAATGTCCAACTTTTAATTACAATCTGGACTTTGCTGACACAGTCCATCTTCTTATTCAAAGTCTTCTCTTGTCCAGAAAGTTTTTTTTAAATTAGTTCAGAGTTCACAAGGAATATATTTAAAAAATAATGAAAAAACACCATATGTGATGTGTGTATCTATGCTCTCTGTATATACTTTAGATGGCCAGGCTTTTCTACCATAAGCCCCAATTTGCCATTCTGGACGAGTGTACCAGTGCAGTAAGTGTTGATGTGGAGGACTACATCTACAGCCACTGCAGGAAAGTACGTATAATATTTTTCAATTGTTTTAAGTCTTGGTTTTGTTTTATGAGGCAACTGTGATAACTATATGATAATATAGTTACATATATAATATACTGCCATCGAAACACTTTTTAGAACATCATGAAGATTGTCGTTTACTATGGCTATGGTGTTTTTTTTTTTTTTTTTAAAGCTTGCGAATCTGTAGTAACGTGACATGGAGTTCTGTTGTTAAGGTTTTATGTAATGTAAAGGCTGCCATTATGTGCCATCATCACTCCTAAGCAATTGCCTAATGCAGAGGTTTCCAAAGTGGGGGACACAATGCCATTGCAGGGGGTGTGCAAAGGGAATGAATGAATTGAAAAATAATGCAGCATATTGTCCAATGCTGTAAATGTTTAACAAGAGACTGGCAAAACAATTGATTGGTTGGACACAATCACACTACTGCCAACTGCCTAAAGTTGGTAATGCTAGCATTTAATGGAAAAGTTTGTAAAAACAGGGTTACAGTTGCGTGCATTACATTTGATCCATTCATTACATCCACATTTGGAAACTTCTGCCCTCCAGGGACCAAACGGCTTGTATCAGGGGATCTGATAGGCCAACATTTTGAATTTTATTCATTTTAACAGGATTTTACAGGAAAATATAATAAGGCCATTGCTAAAAGAAATAGCAATGGTGAGCGATGTACTGTATATCACACCTAGAAGAGGTGTGATAAGAAATAATGTACAAGTGTCTTTTCACCTGCATTCACCTGTCTTATAGCCAAAGTCAACCTGTAGTTCATGATAAAAACAATACATTTACATTTCAGTAACCAAGACAACACACAGCCCATCTGACAGAGAATAGTAAATGACCATAAACTATATCAACTATATACTTTTGTAAATGTCTTTACCAACTGGGATCCAAAATGGATAACTAACTAACTTTCTAAATGATTCATATGTACTGGGGATCAACGACCATTACCAAACAGACCTAGGTCTGTTTAAAAAAAACATTACTAAGCAATAAGACCTATCAAGGCAACATATCACATACAGACATCACAAACATCGGTGTTTACTGTTCTTCCTGTTTTTGTCCTGCATTGAGTAGATTAAATTTATATGTGCACATCTAGTGTAGAACTAGATTTTAATATTGATTAATTAATTAATGTATATATCTTTTTTCACAACAGTGAAAATGTATAGACTTTTTTGGGGTTGCTTAAGAAAGTATACATCATAATCAGGGGCCCCATGGATATGACAAAGTCATATATAGTTTATATATTTATAAATAAATCATATATTTATTTATAATATATAATATATATAAATATATATAATATAAATATATTTATAATATATATATATATTTGACTATGTCAAACTCTTTGACTGATGAATATATTTCTTGACCGTGTAGAATTCACTGTTGGACACAAGACTGATAACATTACAAGAAATATATTTATTTTACAGTATTCTTATAATAAATAAATATTTTTGGGGAACTGCTCATAATTGTAAATAAACCAGGTTTGATCTTTCACGTGATAGACCTTTTTTTGTCTTTAAATTCCAGGTGGGCATAACTTTGTTCACAGTGTCCCATAGAAAGTCTCTGTGGAAGCACCACAAGGTAAGAGAAGAGTGTTCTACGTTGTTCTGGCATCACATGCAATCTAACGTCTCACCACCGTACTAAAATTCTCCTCCTCCTTTAAACTATGTTTTCAAGTATTACCTGCACATGGACGGGAGAGGAAACTACGAGTTCAAACCCATCACAGAGGAAACAGTGGAGTTTGGATCCTAACTGCCTCACATTAGGCTCAGATGCTGCACTTCTACTATAAGACTTGCTCGCTCTTTCCTTGCACTCAAAAAAGTTGTAAACATTTGTAATTTAAACCATCATTTTGACATTTTGAGAGGTGGCAAACTAATGTTTTATTTAATTAAAATTAATCAATTAAAAATAAAAATGTAGGAGTCCTTTCATCAATGACTCACTTGTAGAGTAGCTAGCCAATTGTACTTCTTTTTTTTTTTTTGGTCAAGCAACCATCTTTTAACAATGAAGTAAATCCTTAAAAAAAGTTAACAAATGTCTATATGTCAGATTTGCTGCTGAACAATAATAATATGTAGACTCTACCCTTTTTAATTTTTGTAGTCAAGTTGTGATTAAAGGATGAAATACCTTTCCATGTTTGAGACAGATCTTGGCATAGTTTAGACATGACACATGACTCAAGACACATTAGTATGGTCTGGAAGAAGCACATATAAAGGGATAAGGTGCGAGGCTACAACCCCATAAAAAATGTTCTGGTTTTAGGTATTTACAAAAAAAGAATACAGTGGATCCTCGCGATATGAGTATAATCCGTTCCAGGACCGAGCTCGTAACTCGAGGTGCTCGTAACTCGAGGTGCTCGTAAGAAATAACAGAAAAAATATTTATCCGTTCCAGCCCTCTAAAACACTCCCATATTAGTGCTAATAACAAAGGAAAAAACATTTTTTTAATTGCTACAGAGACATACACAAAAAAATTATAGTATATAAGGATTCCTGTGATATAACTTAAAATGTGGTTTTAATTATGAGTTCTTACCTTCGAGACAGACGATACAGTAGCGGCTAATGGTGTCAGGTGCGGAGGAGGTGGGGAGGAGAAGGGAGGGAAGCGAGTTGGCCCATATGTAGACACTTCCGTAGCGTTCCGATTCCGTACACTACGTAACTTACATAAACTTAGAATTAACTTACGTATTTATTTATTTTTTTACCTTTGTATTTATTTTTTTTGCTTTTTGGTCATCATGCATTTCTTCTCACCACCATCCTTACCACTCACTTTCTTAGGACTCATCACTATTATAAAGAATAATGCACAAAATAGAAAGAAAATCATGTAGATAACGCAACCACAATATGGAAGAGTCACGGGAGATGCATACGGTTGACAAACATGAAGTGAACGAGTAAATATAATAAATATAAGAAGACTTTATTCATCCCACACCGGGGAAATTCAGTTGTTACAGCAGCCGGATTGACATGTAGTACTAAAAGTAAAGTAACAGCATGGCAGACATAGTATTTACAAGGTGATAAAAAAAGTAACAGCAGGGTAGACAGTATTTACAAGGTAATACAAATATCAAAATTTAAAGTGACCTGCAGGGAAAATAAAGTAAAGTAAGTAGTTTACAATAAGCTGTTTGTTAACACGTTTGTTAACAATAACATGTTTGTTGATAAACTGAGTGGGTTAACACATGTTAATTACAATGTCCAACTTTTAATTACAATCTGGACTTTGCTGACACTGTTCATCTTCTTATTCAAAGTGTTGTACCTAAATTAGCAGACAAAGACAAAGCAGGTTGTTGGGGGCAGTGGTGGCTTGGAGGTTCAGTCATCGTGACAGTACCCTCCCCCCCAAAGACCACCTCCAGGTGGCCTACCAGGCTTGTCAGGGTGCTTTCGATAGAAATCCCGGATTAGAGAGGAATCTAATATAAGTTGACGAGAGCGCCTCTCCTCTGGGCCATATCCCTCCCAGTCAACCAAGTACTGGAAGCCCCGGCCCCTGCGACGCACATCCAGCAGCTGCCGGACTGTAAAGGCAGGATGGTCATCCACGATCCGGGCGGGTGGAGGGGGAATGGCTGGAGGGCATAATGGACTGACAGAAACAGGTTTCAGTAGGGACACATGGAAAGTGGGGTGAATTCTCAAAGACCGTGGTAGCTTGAGCTTTACCACAGAGGGATTAATGATACTGACAATCTCATAGGGGCCAATGTAACGAGGGGAAAGCTTCCTAGAATCTGTCTTTAAAGGAATATCCTTAGCACAGAGCCAAACTTTCTGACCTGGTTAGTAATTGGGGGCTGGTGTCTGAAGGCGGTCAGCGTAATGACGATTGCGGTCAACAGAACGAAGTAACGCAGAGCGGGCATCCCTCCAGAGCCTACGACATCGGCGAAGATGGGCCTGGACCGAGGGAACAGCAATCTCACCCTCCTGGGCAGGAAACAGTGGTGGTAAGTAACCCAGAGAGCATTCAAATGGGGTCATACCTGTGGCTGCACATTTTAGGGAGTTGTGGGCAGATTCAATCCAGGGAAGATGGACACTCCAAGAGGTGGGATTCCTGGCAGACACACAACGGAGAGCTGCCTCTAAGTTTTGGTTGGCACGCTCTGTTTGTCCATTGGTCTGAGGATGAAAACCTGAAGACAAACTCACAGAAGCTCCAAGGGCCTGACAGAATGCCTTCCAAACCTGGGAGGTGAACTGAGGACCCCGATCAGAGACAATGTCCAGAGGAATACCGTGAAGACGAAAGACATGAAGCACCAGGAGTTCAGCGGTCTCCAGAGCAGAGGGGAGTTTAGGAAGAGCCACAAAATGCACAGCCTTAGAAAACCTGTCCACAATGGTCAGAATGACCGTATTACCTTGTGAAGAAGGTAGTCCAGTAACAA